AAAAAAGAAACAACTTTAGGTTCAAGTGACAAAAAAATAGGGTCAGTCGGGTAGCAGGAAACAAGACTATTTTTTTTAGCCTTATGTAATATTTATGTACCTGTAATAAATTTATGTATGTATTTGTTTTATGCTCAAAAGGGCCCTGATTATAAACAGATATCATATTCATAGATTATAAAAGAAATATTTAATACAACAGGTGAAGCAAGCTATGAACTAGACAGTGTATTCAGCTTTCTCTGCTGAAATAATGTGACCAAATCAAGTGTCACCTGGAAAGAAGAATGTCAAGGGTGCTTTTTACATTAACTCCAAAATAGCCATTGGTTTGTATTTTTTTCTTTCAATTTACACTTGCACATGTATCAGGGAAAATCCAGAAATTTTTTCAAGGGGGTGGTAAAAAGGAGGTGTTTTGTAATACATGTATTAAAAATTTAAATTTATGATTTTTAGTCCTTGTATTTTTAATTTAAACACCATAATGTACATACAGTATTATTGTATACATATAGAAGCATTTTCTTAAGTCAATAATTTCTCAAAGATCATATTAATATTTCAGGAAAGTTCAAGCCAGATCTGCTACAGCAAACTGAACATAAAGTGGCATACTTGTGTGTCAGGAAACGAGGAACATGTATGGCTGGACTGAAAATCTAACCGGGGATCACTGCATCACTACTTACATGTAGGTGCTCTATTGACTTAAATACATGTATGGTTAAATATTTCTGTATAAACATATAAAAAGTCATGTTGTAAATTGAATTCAAAACTGAATAACCAAAAAATTGTAAAATGTAAAGATGTTTTCTAACTTGAATGAAATTGTTTCAACTAAAGCACCAAAGAATTGGTATGATAATATGAAGAAGTCAGTATTGTTAAAAACTTGTAATTGACATGGTTTTTAAACAATATTGACCTCTTCACATTATCATAGCTAAATTTGCAAAATAAATCAAAATTGTTAATAAATTCTACATCTTTTTTAAAAATAGATCAAGCTATTTACTTTATTTTATTTTCATCATGTTACAGATCCCATGGAAATGTAGGATCCTTGGCTAATCAAGTGTCATCTACAGTGTTAGAAAAGAATATTGGATTTATATCAGTGAGGTAATTAGGGACAAAACTGAATTAAAAAAGATGGAATAAGATGTAAAAAGAAAAGTATTTTAATTCCACATATAATAGTTAGGTTGCTAGTTTTATATGCATTGATGTGTCACTGACAGGTACATGTAGTTTTTTATTTCCACAAAAACTTGATCCTTTGGTATTAACTCTAGAACAGTTTGTGCTGAGTCTTTGTATTTCACGTTTATTTCTTTTCCTTTAACCCCATGGTCTTGGCCTTAGAGTGTGGCCTACATTTAGAATAAAGTATTTGATCTTTATCCTTATACACCAATTTGTTTAATTAAGACAATTCATTAATCCAAATAATTTCCTTGGGAGCAAAAGTGCCCAGATTAATGAGGCTGACTTTATATGCATTTAATTTAAAAAATTCATGACATTATATAAAAAAGGTATCTCAAAAGTGTCTTATATTCATATAGACATAGTCATACTATGTTTACAGTGTAAGAAAGAAGTAAAACATGTATTTTCATTCTTATTGTATTAAAATATTTTGTTCTTTTAAGAAAAAGAACTACCAGAAGGAGACGGTAAAGAGGAACGGACATATCACACCATAAGACGTGCTTCAAAATCTGAATATACAGAATGAATTTTGCTCACTGCAGATCCTTGTGAAAGAACACCTTTGTTGTATTGAAATAAAAACAACGGAATTGTCAGGATCCTTGAACATGACGCAACTGGCTGCATACGATGGCAATTAAAAATGCATACATGTTTACATTGATCTTTGTTAGCCAATAAGACAAAAAGCAAAATAGCAAGTTTATCCTATTACCGTACATGTACTGAATGTATTCACTTTATTTTGCTGAACTACATCATGAATTTAAAAATTGTACAGTATCACATACAATCTATGGCGGGATTCCTCTAACTTTTATGAATCTGTTTGCAAAATTACCTCTAATACATTGTATGTTTTTTTTTTTTTGTAAATTATTACAGTATTTTTGTATGTATGTAGATAAACAAATCACCCAATTTTCCCGCACTTTTTACCATGTATTTAGCATTTTTTTTTACCATGCTTTACTAGTGTATTAATATCTGACAACTGATGACCAGGCAGTCTTCATTTAACAGTGTAATAATGTATCTGAATATTTTTAAAACAAGGATAACATGCCATGGATTGATTCTGTGTTCAAAACTTCATAATCACTGGGTTTTCTTATTTATGTTGTACATGTATTTGGAATAAAAAAGGAATTGTTAAAAGAAAAGTGAAATTAATCATTCTATTGTTGTCAAAGGAAGATAATAAAACCAGTTTACTTATGCACAGAATTGGTCAAAAGATATTGTCATTGATAATTCATCCAAGAATTATATGTATAATAAATCTACAAAGTCAATTTGAACAATATCAAGGAAAGTTCTTATCTTTTTTAATATAAGTGCAAAAAGGTCAAGCAGGGCAACATGTGTCCAGGTGTACATGTATAAATTGTTTTCTGTGAAATAGAATGTAATTTAGAAGAATATTACTTGGAATTTTACTCATTTTCTTTGAAATATTTTGATTAATTCTATCTATCAAAGTCAATTTGAACGATATAGGGAAAACTTCTTATCTATTTTAATATAAGTGCAAAAAGGTCAACCAGGGCAACGTGTATCTAGGTGTACATGTATAAATTGTTTTTGTGATACAAAATGTAATTTAGAAGAATATTACAAAGAATTTACTCATTTTCTGTGAAATATTTTGATAAATTCTTGATAATTTCTCTTCATCACCATATTCTTCAAAAGTGCATCCTTCTAAAGGAAGGGGGTAGGGTAGGGTGTAAGATAATAAACTTGTTCCAGGTTGAATTTAAACCCCATTATGTAGTATGATTTTTTTCTAAAATTTAAGACACTTATAGGCTAACTATAATATGCAATAAAAAAAGAAATTTGATGGGCAATTTTTTCACAGTGGAAGCAGAAGTGTGAGACTTTGTGCTATGAACAGGCAATATTTTAACCTAATTTGACCATGCATCTTGGTAAATGTAATTCTGTTTTTTGCAAACAATGCTTGATAAATTTAAGATTGATGTCAAATATTAATCCATACAGACAGATGTTTGAATTCATATAAGACAAATGATAATTGATATAGCAATAAAAAATTTACAACCCTTTTCATATCATATTCTTATATTATTTTACCCTGCTTTTTCAGCTCTTCGGTGGTTGATGAAGGCTATATTAAAATTGTCAAATTTCTCTAAAACTAGCCCGATGACCTGCCTTGAATTTTTGATATGATTTAGAACAAGGACTCAACACAAACATATAAAAAATTCAGAAAAATTCAATGGGTAGTTTTTTTGTTGACAAGCTATCAATCTCTACCTTAACATGCGCATTTCCTGTGACGATATTTCCAAGCATGCTATGATTTCTGACATCCTGACCTTGAATTTCATGTTTGACCTCATTAAAAAAAAATAAACTTTGGTGATTACTTTTAATGACATACAATCGGGCGTTCATTTTAGACACAATATGTCATAAATAATGACATTGCACCCACAAAGACACCGAAAGCGGGGGACCACATTTCTTTGAATTTGCTTGTTTCTATTCATATGTCGACTCGATAGATCCCAGTGACCTTGAAATAAAAAAGATACCATAGAGTCTGCAACATTTGTTTCATATTTGAATATTTTAATGATTATAGATGATAATGGCTAACTAATAACTTTATTAGGTGGCACATCAATAGACCTATTTATGTAGTAAAATTCTGCTAACACCTGCATATGCTTTTTATTCCCCATTAAAGATCGTGCTCTGAGTACCATCAGTTTTTAAACCGAGACAGGTTTCTTACACATAAGTCGATGTTACAAGGATTTCAATAATGTTGTTTAAAGTCAGCATTTCTCAAATTCTCTGGTCGTTATAACGACCTTATGAACAAATTTTAACCTACTTCTGGTCAAATTACGGTTCACTTGTTTCATACCAATTTTAAATTGTTAGGTCTTTGTTTTTATTTAATTTGACAACGGAATGTCCTGTCTACTTGATAAATACAAAGGGTTCAGGGGTCAGCAAAGGGAGCTTAATCCTCCTAAGCACATGACCGGACCACCTCTGGATTTTCCGGGGGTCCATGTTTACTAGTACGATGTACGGATTTTAAGCAACAATTTAAAACTTATATTGATCAGTCTTGGCCAACGAAATATAGCTAAATCAAATACATGTTCAACTAGAGAGCCCCGTTGTATACTATTATGTCGCTTCATTTTAAAGAAGAACTAGAGTAGAAAATACTTTTTTTCATGATTTATTGAAAATAAAATAAAAAGCTTTTCCAGAAACAGTATAATACTCCTACAGGTTTCAATTTATTGCTATATAAAACACGGAGACAGCTGTATAATACAAGAATTATCATCATATGTATCCTTTTTTTTATCAAAAATTAATAAAATAGGATATTGTACAGGGGAATATTTTTAAGCCAAAGAGCGTATTCTTAAAATTGTAGAAATCATCAGGCCGTATAGTGTGTATATATAATAACGTACGTGCAAAACTTAAAATTTAAAGTGCTTCAGTTTGGAATTTTTTCATCTAATAAAAATATTTAAAAATAATAAAACCGAAGAGCAAAAGTTTCATTTATCTATATTGAACATACATGTACTACTTTATTTAAAAATAGAATAAAATACGGAAAAAGAAAGTTTTATATGCTTTTCCCGTTCCTTTAATCTTCAAGGAAGGAGTTTTCTGGAGAATACATATAATCTCAGAATGCCATTCCCGACTGAGTTCTCTGTATAAATATCTGAACGTCCTTGGAATATTCTTAGATCCACCTTTTATTTTATCTTTCCTTCCTTATGGTGGTTAGAGACATGATACTTCCCTGAAGTCTAAACAAAAATCCAAGGAGCAGGAAAACTCACGACCTGAAGGTATGTAAATCCTTCATTTTGTTCAAAATAATTCGTGAGATCTGTTTTTTTTTAATAATGGCAAAATGATATACTATTTAAAAATCAGTTTTGCTGTCTCAGATGTGTACAATACAAACGTTTTTGCTAAATATCGATCAAAAACAAGAAAGTAAAACAAGTTCTATATTAAATTTTAATTAAAATTGGAATATATTTAATATATGTTTACAAAACCGAAAATCACCGACAAACAGCCATCAATGGAGCTGAACTGCTGATCTGGGGTACGAGTAGCGTATATTTTACATTGTCCTTAATACTATACATGTGTATGGTACTAGCATTCTTCAGGATTTAAATAGCAATTTTTACTTACAAGAGAGAGATGACGTAATAACTCGACGAGGTAAGTTATTGACAAACAAGTTGCTGAATCAAGAATAACAGCAATTTCGATTAAAGTCATCATTTCGTAAGTTCTACGGTCGATGCAATGACCTTGTTAGCAAATACAATCATGCTGATAAGTTTTCCATCCTAAAGTTTAAAGTCATTAAATACACACTGAATTGTCGACGGATTTTTACGTTGCTTTCCAGCCATGGCAAGGAGCACACGGCGGTATGTGACCGGTTTGCATGGGATGCTCACTCCTTCAGGGCACCTGATCCCACCTCTGATGTTTTGGAGGTCTGTTTTTGCTCTGCTCCTGATCTGTATTATTTAATGGACTTTTTAAGCTGGAATGCTGTTCGTTATCCTCATTTATTTCACGACGCAAATGATTTTGGGTGTTGCTGGAAAGCGGTTTATATAGTTTTAATCATTAACTGAAATAGTTTGAAATCGAGCATTTTGTAAAACCAATTTTCTTTACCAGAACAACCGTTGGATAATCTTTTTAAATTAAAAAGGTAAATAATTGTTAAAAACTTATAAACAATTATTTTCGCTAGAAATTCGTGAAAAGGAAAAAAAAGATACTCTCTAAAATAAATGAAATAACATAAGTAAAGTTATATTTAGAGTAAAGAAAACAGACGTACAGCCGTAAACATCGACTTATCAAGCCCCTTAACTTTGTACTGTAGTGGAAAACTAAGTGTCTATACACCGACAGACATGGGCAATGCATTTTCAATATTTTGCAAGAATTTTTCAATACACATTTAAGTAGTTTTCGTTATAGATGTAGTTAAGTTTTGAATTCTCAAAATTTAAAACAAACTTGAACAAAGTCATAAAGTATTGAATGTCAAAATTTCTTCCTTTTGGTTGTATTTCATAATAAACAGTTAGATACGTGAACGAGTAATATTAAGCTTTCAATTGGTGTATTTAAAAGTTTCTTTGTTTACTTTGATTCGGTGAGGTTATTGCCACGACACGGCTTTCGTAATAACTTCCTGTTTCTATGGTTATTACAAAAGAATCCAACACAATCATAAAGATATTAAACAATTATAGGGTTGAAAAACAGTGTTAATTTTTTCTTTAGCATTGCTTAATAAAATATCATGATGTTTATACGCGTCTTTCAATTTTGCAACGAAACACTTAAAAAATATGTTTTTTGTACAATTTTGAAAATCATTACAGAAATTATATTTATACAATGAAAAAATCATCTGTATTATCTATAATGGTTTGTACAATTTAGAAAAACGGGGGGAACACATAGATAAGCAAATGGATAGTATGATATGCAATTTTTATACTGTTGTACAAATGGAATGGATTAAAGATTATCGGTTAAATGTATTTTTCCCTTAACATTTTCCCCAATATTGAGCAGCTTGCATTGTATAATGTCCACTGGAGAATTTTAACATCTCCCTTAAACCATTTGTTTTCATAAAAAGACATTATACTTGATGATTCCGATATATTTGAAAGTTTTCATAGGGTCAAAAGATACAAAAATTTGGGAGATTGTGAAATTTTATTAGTCTCCTGAATTATGTTTATTTTTAATTTCAAATAATTTGTTATATGAACTTGGAACCATATCACTTGCATTTTAGTTTGCTGTTGGAATAAATTTCAATCATTGAACGTTTCTGCGTCGAATTTCAAAATTTTGTTCTGAGCAAAATAGTCAATTCAAAGTGTTTTACTTTTTTAAATATATTTTTTGGTATCCTATGTCCTTAATATTGAAAATTTATTATTACATACTTGAGTATATTTTATCGAATCATTTTAATTTTGATATTTTGCTATTTTCATTTTATCCAGATTTTTGTGACAAAATATTTGCGTTATATGTATTGAACTAAAATATAACATGATTTTTGTGATAATGATTTTTCGGTATATTTTGAATAAACTGGATTTTAGGTGAATGATTCGGAATTTAGTGATTACATATTGCGGGTTAATTTTGTTTTATGATCTTGATAGGGCTGCTGGATAGAACTGTCAGTCATCCATTGATTGATTTGAATGTATAAGTATGCAAACACTAAAATGGAGAAACAAATTGAAAACATGTGTCGGATCCTTCTACTTGTTGTTGCCATTCTCGGCATCCAAGGTAATTTATAATTTAAGGAATCATTGTCTAGTTAGAAGTGTATACCAGGGCATCAACTATAGTTGGAAACTTGGGATTAATTTGCATAACAGGCGAAGCCCGTTATGCATAAATTATCCCACGTTTCCAACTATCGTTTATGTCCCTGGCATACTCTTCTAACTAGACAGCGATTCCTTATATTTCCATTTCATTGCGAAATAAAATTGTAAATTTAGATTTTAAAAAAGTAAACTTATCGATTTAAAATTACACGAGGCCTGTCAATATGTAAATATTAATAGAGATTTTAATTCATGCATATTAGGCCTCCTCAGAGTCAGACACAAAGACAGACACACGGGATTTACATGCACATAAGAGATTTTATTCATGCGAATTTTATAGAATGATGAAGAAATCAACCTCTAACTTTCAGAGTTGTCAGAAACACAAAGACAGACACACGAGATTTACATGCATCTTTAAGAAGACTTTATTCTTCAAAGAAATTTCAATCAGTAAATAATTTTCACTTTAAAATGTTTCTTAATCGAGTTCAGCTTTTGATTTGAGGTAGATATACATTTATAATCTTAAAAGTTTATCACTGCAAAAATTGCTTGCCGCTTAAAAACAAATTTAATGAAAAAGGTAAAATAATGAACAATAAATGATCTTTAAAAAATACAAACTGTGTTTGTCGAATTCGGTTTCAAAACGAAGGCCTAACAATTGGTATGAAACATGCAAACAAAAAATACGACCCAATGTTTGATAATATTTGCTAAAATTATAATGAAACATATGGAGATAACGAACAGTATTCAAGATCAAAAAATACATAAACAATACAAAATAAGAGCATGGCAAACACGGACCTCCAAAACATCAGAAGTGGGATCAGATGCCATGACTATAGAATTAACGAAAAACTGACTCCAGACGAGAATGGTGAAATCCCTGTGACATCAGTTCAAAAATTGATTGTGGTCAGAGCACGCTCTGATAAGTATCAAATGTAAACGTCATTTGCAGATGAGAGCGAAATATTAGTACATGTACACAAATAAGGAAAAGTGGCGATGTAAAATCTGAAATCATTTCGTTTATCATAAAATTTAGTTTTCAGTTGACATTTGTCAAAGCATTGGTTTTTTTTTTATTTTTCTATGTTTTCCATCAATATGATACCTTCAGAATGATTTTTTATTGCCATTCATTTGTCGACACGTTATATCCAAGTGAACTTGAATTGAAAGATTCTACAGAGTCCGGCACATCTGTTTTATACTTGGATATTTACTAGAAAAAATCTTAAAAACCTGGTAACCTAACAACGAAGTTTTATCATAAACATGATTTTATTAACTTTTTAATTGTCAACTTCCCTTGCTTAACGTAATGCAACAATATTTCTTGGTATTGATTTAATACGCAAGCCTTATGTATGAACAATTTCTAAAAAGAGATAAAGTAATTGACAAACAAGTTGATGAAACAAGAGTTACAACAGTCTCGTTTTAAGTCATCATTTCGTAAAGTCTATGGTCGATACAATGAATTGTCAGTTTCATATTATACATTTATTCACTATGTTCGAAGGCAATATGCGTTTTGTCGGACCCAAGAACCAATCTGTTTGGTTCAGATTGGTTCGAGGGTCGACAAAATGCATTTTGCCCAAGAGCACAGTCAATAAATGTTTTGTTATACCTTTAATTTCAATTCTTTTGATATACATGTATGTTGTACTGTCTTCTCTGATGTAACATCAGGTACGTCACCGATGAACACCGACGAATTGTGTGACGTCAGCAGTCCAACATCTCAACCACAGGTCCAATATCTCACTCAACGGTCAAACACCTAGACTTTTTCCCGTATATATTTACATTGTATATAGATATATTCTTTAAAGGAAAACAATCATTTTTAGGCCATTATTTACACACTGATATGTCGAAGGATTTTTTCCGTTATTTTCCCATCACGACAAGGAGCAAACAGCCAGTGTGGCCGGATGCTAACTACTCCATGGCACCTGATCCCTCATTTGATGTTTTAGAGGTTCATGTCTGCTCTGCTGCTGATTTATTTTGTTTTCAAGAATGAAATTTGAAGACTGAATAATGTGCGTAATCTCTATGCATGCATAACCCACATCCCTCTTGTGTGCTTGGCTGCAATTGACAAAATTCATATTGGAAATTTTTAGGACTTTGAAAAAATGTGTCATACTTGTTAGTTTCAAGATACGAGGGCTGTTCAATAAATAATGTCTTGAGCTCTATGACATACAACATAGAAATCATACGACATTAAGCTTGATTTCTCTCATGATCGAATTAATCTTTAATGAATTGATGACAGTTTATGTGACCACCTTTCATCACATAGTTTCATTGTGAGAAGCTGGAAAGCAAGGGTTATTCGAGACACTGCATTGAAAATGAATGGTAAAGAATCGGTAAACTAGAGTGAAATTAAAAGCTTCATTAAAGCTTCTGTAAAACTCATTAAGAATCCCAAAGAAATATTCAATGAAATATGTGAAATTTACAGCAACCAATGTCTGTTTTATAGACACACGAGCAGGTGGATTGCAATGAACAAAAATGATATAATGGGCTTCAAAATGTGTACCGTCCTTGGCAACAAGGACTTGCAACAACCAATGTAATGATTGCCAAAATTCAACAAATTATCACTGATGGTGTTAGATTGACTTTAAGACACCTAGCAAAATTGATAGGCATCATTTTGGGGGTAGTTTACAATGTTTTAAGAAACATTGGACAGAAAAAGCTTAGTTCTAAATGGTCACCTTATTTTTTGAAAAATGAGTGAAAACGACAGCGTGTAAGAATATCTTATCAATTATTTTTAAAAATAAAAAAAATGTAGTTATCCACGTTTGTCTGAAACACAAACAGACAAGGAAACTTGAATCCAATGCTTTAAATCCTCAAAACAAATTTACAATGAAATGCACTTGATAAATATAGCCAAGGTCTGAGAAGAGCAAAAAATTGCAAAAGCACAAAAACAGTTCTATATGCCATTTTCTTAAATATTAGTGCTCTTGTTGGTCAAATTCTTATTTGGGGAGGCAGTCCAATTTCTGGAGAAGTCTAGGAAGCAAATTCTTGCTAAAAAACTGTAAGGTTTATGAAAGGATGAAACCAGAACCAGGAATCCGCTACACTAAATTTCTTCAAACCCAAATGCCAAGAAGAGTAAAGGAGTTTGGGGGATAAACAGATAGTTAATGTTTTGTCACACCGACAATATTCGCCAGATCTTTCACCCTTTGGCTTCATTTTCCAATCCTGAAAAAAACCACCTTTCAGACAGAAGAAACAAGTCCAGGAAATCATAGGATCTGCAATATTCCAGTATACGAAGGGCCATACTCAAAAATTTTTTTTTTAAACTAACAGAAATTAGTTAAAAATGTTTCGGACATTGTTATTCAATTAAAAGAAAATATTTAAGTAAAATAATTAAGACTAAATCATTGAAAAGCATTTTTTGTTTCTTTCCGATCATCGAGGATATTATTTATTGGACAGTCCTCGTATCTGATTAAAATGGTTTTAAAATGGGTTACCTTTGTATTATAATTATCTTGCTATCTTCATCCATCTCTTAATTCACTATACGTGCATAATTTTCCTTGCAAATATTGTTCGCTTTCAATCCTAATTTCTTGCAGAATTTCAAGTCTTATTTCATCTGAAAGCAGGGGACGAAAAGGGTAAGTTTAAATTCAATAAACATAGTGATTAGTATCTACTACTGTATATTATGTAAGTACATGAAGGCCTGCAGTTGATGCGTAATTAAATGCAGTAATATAAGTTACTTACAAAATTATTATGGAATTATTATTATAATATCCACTATTCCCGAAACGGTTGTAAGCAACTGTTCTTTAATAAAGAAAAAAATTAAAAGTGATTCTGTACTTGCACTTCTGTCATTTATCATTCAAATGAATAGGCAAGAAGTTGATTACTTGAAAACAAATAGACAGACAGAGAGATGTAAAACATGCATTCCTATAAATATGCAAGCTAATTCTGGTATTAAATGAAATGAAAAAAGCTACAAATTTTAATTAATTTTCCTAGAGGAACAGGGAAGAGAAATCTGCGATTCGTCGCCCCCGGAATTGTCATGCAATTCTGAATACAAATACCGGTCTGTAGATGGATCTTGTAATAATCTCAAGCATCCGGACTGGGGAAAGAGCTACACAGCGCAAAGGCGATTTCTATTACCGGAGTATGGCAGTGGTAAGCTGCTTTTTTATGTTTATTTGTTTGAATGTTTTGCGAATGTACATGTATGTGTAAAATATTAAACAGTTCGCATAAATTTACAAAAACGTGTTTATGCTCTATGGTATTGTCATTTGATGCCCCAATTATTCATTTGATAGATTGTAACTCTCCTCGACAAAATGGATACAGGAACATGCCATTACCTAGTCCTCGTGAAATCAGCAACCTTTTATTCCAAAACAGAAATTCAACAACCGAAAGGGATCCAGAGCTCAATGTACTGCATATGTCTTTTGGTCAGTTTCTTGATCACGACCTTATACTGACACCCATCATAAGAGGTAGCTCTCTCTCTCTCTCTCTCTCTCTCTCTCTCTCTCTCTCTCTCTCTCTCTCTCTCTCTCTCTCTCTCATTGACATACCCTAGAGGTAGTTGTCATATACCAGTCATTGGTTTAATATCCTCTAGTGTATGTTTTATTGTCCAGGAACATTTGCCTGCTGTGGAGAGGACAGAGACAGTGAGCTTTGTATACCCATCCCCATTCCTCCAGGAGATCCTTTCTTTAAGGAAGACTGCATGCCTCTGACAAGATCGGCCTCAGTTCTCCAGCAACGCGGACACAAGTGTGCGTACAAAACTGCAGTAAGAAGGATATGGAGATAACGAACAGTATTCAATCTCAAAGTCCATAAAACAATACAAAATAAGAGCAGAGCAAACACGGACCCCCGAGACATCAGAGGTGGGACCAGGTGCCATGGTGGAGTGAACATCCCCTGCCGACCTGTCACACCCGCCGTGTGCTCCTTGTCATGATCAGGAAATAACGGAAAAAAATCCGTCGTCAATTCAGTGTATAATTAATGAACTAACAATTGGTATGAAAAACGTCAGTCAGCATTTGACTTAATGATAAATTGTATTTGCTGACAAGGTCATTGTATCGACCATAGAACTTACGAAATGATGACATTTAAACGAGACTGCTGATATTCTTGTTTCATCAACTTGCTTGTCAATAATTTACCTCGTTTTAGAAATTGTTCATACGTAGAGCATGCTCTTGCGTATCGAATCAACTGGTATATGTAAACTCCGTATGCAGGTGATGAAGGTATATTGCTGCATAAGTAAGGGAAGTTGACGATAGAAAAGTTAAAGTCATCACGTTTATCATATAGCTTGGTTGTTAGATTACCATTAATGTCTTTTTCAAGTAAAATATCCAATTATGAAACAGAATTGTCAGACTCTGTGGTATCTTTTATCTCAAGCTCACCAGGATATATCGTATCGACGTAGGAATGGAAATCACCATTATTAATTGACAATAAGTCGTCGATATATCTAAATGTCGAGTTGAAGGCCACAGCAAGTGTTTTATTCTTTTCATGCATAAGATTTTTCATAAATTCTGCTTCATATGAATATAAAAATAAGTCCGCTAATAACGGAGCGCAATTTGTACTCATGGGAATTCCAATAGGTTGCTGGAATACCTGGTCTCCAAAAACCACATAGATATTGTCATTCAGAAACTCAAGCATCTTCTTGATGTCAACTTCAGAGTACTTATGTGTGCAATCAGAATCTGTTTTAACAAAATAATTTTGCAAATGACCAATGACGAGGTAAGTAAATTTACGAGTTCCATTTTTATTGAAGAAGCAGCAGTCAATGATATCGAAAAGCCTGGATTTTAATTTGTCGTGGGGAATTGTTGTGTATAAAGTCCAAGTTTTTAAGCTGTTGATTTTTGTAAAGTCTTGTGGTTTCAAATTGTCCAAAAGTTTTTTTTGAATATATAGTTGCACAGTACTCTTGAAGTTTTTCCTTCACTACTGTTAATATCTTAGTAAATTAATAAATATCCTTATTGTTAGGTTACCATAAACGTCATTTTCTAATAGAAAAATATCCAAATACAATATTAAAATAGATGTGTCAAACTCTATGATATTTCTATTTCAAGTTCATCGAGATATTACGATTCCACAAATAAATGGGAGTAAATATTGCTAATTGATAAAATACTGAAAGGAAAAAATGCAGGGTAATATAATAAGGAAAAAAAATTATCGCATGACTGAAAATCACAAAAGCTGTCCCCAGGATCATGAAACAGACTTAGGCTTACTAGTAAGTCAAATTTTCAATCGCCTTTAAAATGTTTATTAATAATTGAATTAATATCAAAATTTGCAAATAACAACATTTTTATGAATCAATATTGAAACATATTTGAATTTTGATTTGTTTGCCTGCTTTGAAATTTAAGTACTACATGACGATTTTGGCTTAAGCTTAACATGTTTCATGATCCCGAGGCTAGGTCAGATGAGAATCTTGGTAACTATGCACTAAACTCAGTGTTCAGAATTACTCAACCGTGTAAAGTATGACGTCACGTAGGGAATTTGTTTTTTAAAAAAGCCAAAAACACGTGCAATTTGATGACGATGCACATGGGGTATACACATTGCTTTTCAATATTTCTTGTCGTTTGCCTGATTTTTTTTCGGCGTCCTTGTCCCCGGCCCAGTGCAGCCAGGGTTTACCAAGACTTTCTCGCAAACAACCACATTTACCAGTTCATTTACCATTTACCCACTCGACTGGTCTCCCTAAAGTCTATCTTTTTCTCATTGAACATTTATGGGACTATGTCAACCAGCTTTGGAATTTCGAACCATATCTTCCACTAACATCTGTGGGATTTAGTGGAAGATAGGGTTCGAAATGCCAAAGCTGGTCTCTTTCACCTAAGGGCTACCTTGTTGAAAGGGTTGACTGATATCCCTGTTGGAAGGATAAACACAATGATGAACATCATGAAAAGGAGAATCATGAGAAGGACATTGAGGATAATGAGAATTTTCGATTTTCACTTTTTTGGGGTATCGGCATATGAGATTAAAATAACACATGGCAAAATCAAATGGGTTACATTTTTATAAAAGTGAAATTTATGGAGATAATGAGCAGTATTTAAGCTCAAACTCCATTAATTTAATTTATACGAATTATGAGCAGAACAAACACGAACCTGCAAAACATCAGAGATGGGATCAGGTGCCACGGAGGAGTGAGCATCCCCTGCCGACCAGTCACACTTGCCGTGAGCTCCTTGTCATGATTGGGATGTAACGAAAAAATCTGTCGACCATTCAGTGTGTGAATAATGGATAACAATCCGTATGAAAAACGTCAGTCAGCATTCGACTTAATGATTTATTGTATTTGCCGACAAGATTATTGTAGCGATCATAGAACTAACGGAATGATGACTTTGAACGAACCTGCTGATATTCTTGTTTCAGCAATTTTTTTGTCAATAATTTACCTCGTTTTAAAGATTATTCATACGTAGAACATGCTCTTGCGTATCGAATCAATTTAGAGAGATATAAACTCCGTATGCAGGTGATGAAGATATATTGCTGCATAAATAAGGGAAGTTGATAATTGAAAGTTAAGGTTGGCCCGTACTTTCAAAATTTTCTGTCAAACTGATCATTTTTTAACTTGAATACCTTGAATAACTCATGACCTAACTAAAACACCCATAAAAGACATATCTTTGCTGGTTAATTTTCATACAACATGTCTCAGAGTACATACCCCTAAAAATTCAACAGCCAAAATTAAACATAAAGAATTGTGATATAATATTTTATTTCGCTATGCACCAAATCACATCAAATTTATATTTAAACTTGTGGAAACAAAAAAAAACATTCATTTGCCAGGAGAATATTTGAAATCTTTCCTGGAAAACATTAACAAATTGATGTTGAATCTGTCCACGTCTATAAGAATAAAATCTCAGAATATATTTTTAATAATTCTAAAAATCAAAATTGTTAATGTGCCATTTTCTCTTTAAAATTAGTAAGAATTATACCTATGGTTAACAAAAACACAAGCTTTATTATGATTGACCAGAAAAATTTAACAAAACAGCCCTTTGAACACGTATACCCCCACTTTTGGAATATCAAGTTTCTCAATCATTTTTTACAAAATTTGAAACTAAAATGAAATCAAAAAAGATGATATAGGCCTAAAATCTATAAAAATAGATTTCAAGTTAATTTGTTTTTAAAAAAACAAAGAAGGGTTTAGGTTCATAAAGGCAATTAAGAATTTTGTGTTTGTGTATGTGCTAAATGCATAAAAATCCTATGGACAAATGTCAAGTGTTAATTTCCATAAATAGTATTTATTAAATGCTTTGTATTCAATTTGACACTATAATAAATAAATGTATACTTATTAAATTATTTTCAAGCAACCAAAATATTTTATTACAAAAAAGTGATAATCAGAATTTTATACTGGTGTGTAAAATTAAAACCGGATCCGTAAAAGTATGGACCTTCCTTAAAGTCATCCCGTTTGTCATAAAGCTTGATTGTTAAATTTAAAACGTCCTTTTCAAATAATATATTAAACAGATGTGTCAGACTCTATGGTATCGTTTATACAACCTCATCATGGAAACTGATTTTAAATGTTAAACGGGAATACTAGAAAATACTTTGGGGAAAATAAAATTATTTCACCTAAAAGTTTACCCTGTTTCTTTATCCTTTCATCGATATATATAATTGTCGAGTTGAAAGATACAGCAAGAGTTTTCTTCTTCTCATGAAAAAGTGTTTGCATACATTCTGCTTCGTTATATATATAATTCAAAAATAGGTCTGCGTATCACAGAGCGCGATTGGTACCCCCGGGAATTTTAACAAATTGTTGAAAGACTTCACCCACCCCCTTAAAAAATGTATAGATATTGTCAATAAGAAACATCTTTTCCATATCAGTCTCGGAGTATGTCTGTGTGCATTTAGAATGGTTTTTTTTTCATTCATTTCACAAATTACATCACAATATTATCGAATATACATCATAAGATTTTTGAATAAACATCACAAGATTAGAAAATACATCACAAGATATTGTACATGCATCACAATATTATCGAAAACACATCCCAAGATTATAGAACATACATCACAAGACATTGCACATACAGTACATCGCAAGTTATTCAACATACATCACAAGAATCTGAACATATGTATCACAAGATTTTTGCTATATATCAAAGATTTTGGCATATACATAACAAGAATTTGTATACATCACAAGACTTTGCAAAAACATAAAAAGATTATCGAACAAAGCAACGTTTTACACACAATTTAAAATATTTTAAAATCGAATAATGCTTTTTTCCTACCAAAGGTTTTAAATTATTGGCTACGAAATGGATCTGTTTTTCTCTCAAAAAGATGCTATATATTTATAAGAAATGAATAAGAAGTACACTTTCTACTTTCAACAAATATTTACTATGTGAACAGATAAAAATATTAACATAATAGGTTGTCGAGAACAGACCAATGACGTCACTTCCTATATTGATGCATCAAATGTCTATGGTTCTGATACAAATAAAGCAAACAGTCTAAGAACTTTTCAGAATGGTACGTCTTTTTCTCGTTCAATTGTTTCCTCTCTGTCTTCTATCCAGTTTTTGACATTCTCTAAACAACTTTGCTTCTAGTTACCCTATCATATAATATTGAATATATGTTTATAAATGGCTATCTCTAAATGTCTGATGAAAACTTGAATTCATTCTACATAGATTTGTGTAACATTTCTGGACAATTTTAACTGAATATTGCTTTAGGGACATTGCGTCAGAGAAACGCCGGCTTGCCGGACGGAGGCACAAGCAAGTGTGTATTTGATGACTCTACAAAAGAATATTGTCCAAATGCAGGTAAAGACACCAACATTTTGTTAAATTAAGCAGAAGGAAAAATGTACTTGTTGATTGTTTTCTATGATTTATCTGTTAAACTGCACATTTAATTTTAGGAGATGTTCGGGTGAACGTTGTACCTAACCTTGGATCGATGCACCTTATGTTTGTTAGATATCACAATTACATTGCAAAGCAGTTGGCGGATATGAATCCTTTGTGGAAGGACGAAAGACTTTATCAGGAAACCCGTGCTATAGTGAGTGCTATTACGCAACACATGGTTTACAGTGAGTATCTACCGCTTGTCTTAGGGTATGATATTATGGAGCAATATGAACTCCTCCCCAAACCCAATGGCCATGACACGGTTTATGATGAGAAGATTGATGCATCTACTAGAAATGGTTTTGGTGCTGCGGCCTTCCGCTTTGGTCATTCACAGGTTACAAACCATCAAATGCAGTTTAGTAAAATGTTTTCTGAAATTTTGAGCAAGAGGATTGAAAAGACATATCATCACCCACACATGTGTGTCGAAAAAGGAGGAAAAGGGAGTGACGGTGTTTTAAGATGGCAGCTTGCAGAGGGTACTGCAAAAACAGACGGGTAAGAAGAAGTTGTCACAAAAATATTGCTGTTTGAGTTATTTCTTCATACCTTTTTTTATTTTTAAGTTTATTTTTAAGAGTGTTCGAGAGTGGCGTTAGAGACAAACTTTTCATGGACTCTTCCGGTAGGAGTTTGGATCTTCCCGCCATTAATTTGCAGCGTGGAAGGGACCATGGGATACCTGCATACTGGGAATGGAGAAAATTCTGTGACTTGAATCACAAAATGTTTTCAGATCACAGTATTGCAGATCAAATCAGACTACGAAACATTTATGGGTTTGTTAAATGCTAAATATTTTAAAAGGCTTATATACTAACTTTACAAATACATGTATTCTGTTTTATAACATGCTTGCATTTTAATTGTAAATTTACTATACCCATGAATCTTTCCTTTTCTTAAAAAAGTGTGTTCATATCCAACTCACTTTGTTTGCAATTGGACGAAATTTTCTTTTACTGATTCTTTTAACATTTCGATAATTGTACACAAAATACTTTAAAGTTGTTATTTATGTGATTTTTAGAGGACGGGCTTCGGGGCCACCAACCTATAAAAATCTCAGCTCAAATCTCAGCGTTTGTGGCCCCGAAGCCAGGTCTTCAAACAATCTGTTGGTGTTCCCATGTGTACCAATTGCGCCCCGTTATAAGCAGACTTATTTTCGCATTAATATGAAACAGAATTTATTCAAAATCTTAAATATCAGAGGAAGAAAAAAATTTATTGTGGCCCTAACTCGACATTTAGATGACGTATTTACACTTAACAATAGCTATTTCTATTCATATATCGACACGACATACTCCAGTGCGCTTGAAATTAAAGATTTCAGACTCTGCCACTTTTGTTTCATACTTCTGTATTTCACTAGAAAACGGATTTATGGTTACATAAAAACAAATCTTTATGATAAACAAGCTGATTTTAACTTTTCAATCGTCTGCTGCACTTACCAATGCAGCAATAATACACTTACCACCTGCATACGGGGTTTGTATCTTACAGTTGATTCGATTTGCGAGAGCATACTCTAGTTATGAGCAATTTCTAAAACGGAGTAAGTTATTGGTAAACAAGTTGATTAAACAAGTATATCAACAGTCTCGTTTAATATTATCATTTTAAAATTTTTAATACAATTTTTAATAAGCTAGCAAATACAATCTAACTTAAAGTAAAATGCGGACCGAGGTTTTTTTTAATGATTGTTAAGCCATTATTTACTTAATGAATTGTCGACGAATTTCCCCGGTATTCCCATTCATGACAAGCAGCACGGCGGGTGTGACCGCTCAGCAGGGTATGCTCACTATTTCAAGGCATCTGATTCCACCTCTTGTGTCTTAGAGGTCCTTATTCGCTCTTCTCTTGATTTCTATTGATTGAACGACTTTTGATCTTTAATACTGTTTGTTATCTACATATATTTCGTTTATCCGTTTCTCTGTGGTTGTAGATAATTCTAATTTTAAGCCTTATCCCTGTGTTTTCATAAATTTATTTTATTTCAAATTACGTAAATCTTAACAATGTCATAAATTTATATAATCTTATTTTTATGGATTTTTTGAAATGCTTTTTCTTTATATTGAAAAAAAGAACAATCAAAATTCACATGTCAAGTTTCTAAAATTTTATAATCATGTTTCTGAAAATATTTTTAAGCTTATTCTCTTTCCGAATTCTTTGCACTTCTGAAATGATTTTTTTTACCTTAAAAAGTTAT